TATTATTGCATATTTCAATTTTTCCTTCAATTTTAAGCAACAATCGTAATATACAATGTACATAAATTGAAGAATTGAAATGTTAAACGAAAATTTTGTAATTTCCAGAATTGTTTCTCATCTTATACATCTATAAAAATTTTAACTTGAGAACTAATGTCAAATACTATTATCACAGTTTCCACAGAATGGCATCGCTAAATGAAACCGAACATATCGAAATTAATTAAATCAAATTGTTTAAACGATATTTTCAAGAGTCAATAACTTGGAAACGGTTGGTTTGATGTACGTTGTGTGTATTTCGATTTTTGCTTAGAATTGAAGGAAGAACCCAAATATGCAATAATATACAGGGGGTTCCATTTAAAAAAATGAAACTTTTATTTGCCACGACTTTATGACCGATCCTAATTTTCTTATTTTTTTCCACTACGTCTCTGTATCCCATACGACGTACATAAAAAAATAACAAGGGACGTTGTTGCAATTACCATTAAGATCATTTATATAAACATGCCATTCTACTCTGTGCGAGTACATACCGTAATGAGAATTAATAGTACTTATGACAGTAGTACGGGTAATCCGTCCTTTTAGTCGAATGGATGATAAGCGGTTCTTTTTTTAGAAAAATTTTTATAATCGGTACAACGTTGTAAGCGGTGACATAAAGCGAAGAAATTAGCAATGATAAACCTAAAGGTCACCTAATCGTATGAAAGTTGAGTTAATTCGCTAATATGTTGTTTAACGTTTGCAGATTATACCTATTTGTAAGAGTGTATAGTGTTTTTAACTTTCAACAAAGGTATAAATTATCAAAATATTGTTTCTTTGCCATGTATAGGAATAAAGCTGCACATATATTTTGAAAAAAAATAACATAAAATAATTAGAATATATTTCAAGTCTAGAATGGAGAATGGAATATCTAAAGAAGAAAACATTCTACCAATGTGTACTCCCAGTGAAACCTGGACACTTAAAACGGACATCATAAGGAAAATGCAGGTCGCACAACGCTCAATGGAACGAAATTATGCTGGGAATAACCAAGAGAGACCCTAAAAGAATAGAGTGGATGCGGCAAAAAACCCAGGTAATACCCACACCGGAAAAATCTAGGGATATCATTTTATTAAAGTTAAAAATAAATATTTTGAATAAACAATCACATATTTGTAGGCCGATTCTTTCTACTTCGATTGAAACGAAGTAGACACACTAGTTATTTCTAAATTTGGGATATTTGCAGAAGTGTTTGTGCATTTTTTGTCAAATGTATAAAAAGCACCTAGCATCAATTGTTCGAATTTAACCTATACTGGCTATGTTTTTATGATAACTGGCCAGAATTCATTCAAATAACTCTGTTTAGTATTAAACGACATTATGGAGCGTAGACATCTTAACAGCGACGAAATGCTAAGGGCCATGGATATGCTCGAAGCTGGAATGCGCTAAATCGACGTAGCTAGAGCATTAAATACAACGCAAAGTGTAATATCGCGATTAAGTCCACGCTACCGTGAAAGTGGTGATGTTGCTGAAAGGCACACAGGGCGACATCGCATTACTACCCCTCAGCAAGATCATTTTTTACAATTAAATGCTCGACGCCGACCGACTCTTACAGCACCACAGCTTAGTTTAATTCTCCAGGAAACACATAATGTAACCGTTGGTCCTGACACTGTTCGCAATAGATTAAGAGAGGTCAACTTAAGAAGCAGACGCCCCTGGAGAGTTCAACCCTTAACGAGAGTAAATCAAGAGGTACGATATTTGTGGGCTCAAGATCATGTTCAGTGGTCGAATGAACAATGGGCCAATGTTCTCTTCACGGATGTGTGACGCTTTGGAATTCATCCGGATTCGAGAAGGCTTAGGGTATGGAAAGAACCGGGAAATCTTATTCGGTTGGATCATGTTCAGGAAGTGCACCCTTATTAAGGTGGAACAGTTAAACCGATCTCGTTTTTCTTGAAAGGTTTCTAACAGGAATCACATATCGTGATAATTCTTGAGCCTGTCGTGTTACCATATGCCAATGATTTTGGGAGAAACTTCATTCTCATGCATGACAATGCACGGCCTCATACAGCCAGAGTGGTAAGTGAGTTTATCAATGCTCATCAATTAAACATCTTACCCTGGCCGGCACAATCTCCTGACTTCAACCCCATCGAGCACGTATGGGACGCGGTCCAAAGAAGAATTTTGAGAATGGGTAGGCCTCGTGAAACTCGTAGGGATCTGGTTCGGGCCGTGAATGCAGCGTGGCAGGCTGTACCTCAAGAAGAGATCGACAACCTGATCAGGAGCATGGAGAGACAATGTAGGGCTGTAATGAACAGTAGAGGAGGCCATACCCTTGATTAAGTAAAAATGGTTTTATCTTTTTTTTTTAATTCACAGTTTAGAATAAAAAAAATGTGTGTATTTTTTTGAGTTCAATAAAAATCAAGGTAAATTTCGCATTTTTATTTCCAATACGTCCTGTAAACTATTTGTTTATTTTAATTGTATTATATCAGAAATGCAAATAATAAAATTACTGACGATGGCTGGATAAAATTGTAATATCCCTAGACTTTTCCGGTGTGTGTAGATGCCACAGAGTTAAATCCCTCAAGTGGCAATGGGCAGGACACCTGGATGGCCACAAAAATTACAGCATGGTACCCACGGGGAATTAAGAGACTTAGAAGAAGACCGAACCTGAGATGGGACCACATATTAGAAAATTAGGAGGATAACTTTTTTTTTGAAGATGTCAATTTTTCTGCGAACTTTGAAGAAATTGGGTATTTTTTTCACATCAATCCTAGATTTAAATACTATCTTCATACTAACTAACTCATATTACTATCTAAAGCAACTCATATTGGACAGTATCTTAATTCTTAATGAAAAAAAAATATTTTGATATGTGGAATTGTTTCTTGAAATTTTGTAGAAAAAAGGCAGGATAAATATTAACACGATATTATAGATAAATGGCAATCCTTTCTATTTACTAACTATATATCCTTAATCGCAGATTTAGTACTCCATTAAAAGGCGTCATAAACGGGACAAATCAATAATATTATTGATTAGTAGATATCTACGCACAAAACACATCTTTTTTAACTAGAAACAAAGAGCCCTTTGAAATGAAGCGCCATTATATGTCGCCAATAGTATTAGTCTATTAAAAACTCTATTAATACGCTACTTAATTAATCAATGAAAGTATTCTTTTAATGATGCAAAGCGCATTTTTGATGACTCATTAATGAACAGTATTTATGTGCGGTTGCCGGTTTTAATTGTAGTGTTTTTCATTCATGTCTGAGAGACGAGGGAATTTAAGAAGAAAAGACTGTAGAAAAGAACATGATTTTACCTTGGATACTATAGAGAATGGATCTACGTAAAGGTATATTTATCGGATATGGACAGATTGTTTAATTTTCTGTACTTATTACCTTGTTACATCATTACGTAGTTTTCATTAACTTAGTTTATTCATTACCCATCTGAACAACTTTATATACCTACTGTATGGATCATAGATATGTATAAAAGATAGATTAACCATATAGGTACATTGATTTGACCACAAACCAAAAAAAAATTTGAAAATTTGGAATTTTTTGATTTTTTTTAGTTTTTAGTTAAAAACTTAATTTCTTGATAATATGGCAACACAGGTAGTAGATTTTATTTTTCAAGAGAGAAAACCCAGAAAAGACCCATTGGTTCTCAAAATTTAAGCAAAAAATGAGTTTTTGTTTAAATTTTCAAAGTAAAATAACTCGGTTATTTTGGATTTATTTAAAAAACGGTAAAGAGAAAATATGTTTCTTTTATCGAGATCTACCAACCCTGAAAATATTTGCAATTATTTAAGACTCACCCTGTATATCAATAGATAAAACTATACTATTCTAATCGTCGTAAAAGCGTAATCTGGAATTTAACGTGTATGACAACGTTGTAAAGAACTTAGTGGAAAATTAAATGTATTAAAAAGAGATAAAAGTTGGGTTGATGCGGTATTGCCGGATTTTTTTTATGAAAAATGTTGCATCTAGGATTGGAACTTTATTTTTCACAATTAGTTACTCATTTTACTACAGCTGTAATAGATTATATTTAGCTTAGATATATTATTTTCATTTCAATAGTATACATGAAAGTTTTTAAAATGCTTTTTTTCTTCACACATTTTCCTACACAGGTAAAAACCGGCAACAATGTGTGCCGATTTTTATTTTGTCTCTCTGTCTGTCATTCGGTCATTTATATTTATCTCTGTCGCATGCGTTAAAATATAGACCATGCAGATGAAGTGTCCAGAATGGTATCAATCTTTAAATAAAAAATATGTGGCAAAAAAATCTCACCTTTAGGAATCATATTATTTGATCTTCATTCTAACTTTTTTTGTAAACAATTAACAACCTAGCATTCTTCTATTTACATCTGGATTGTATATGTTGGGGTCGTTTAGCACAGTCAGCTTTGTCTATTATATTATTTGTTTGAGCTTTGCATAGTTGGAAACTCGTACTGAGATATAAATATACAGGGTGTCCCAGAAATCAGTGCAAGTATTTTAAGGAGTGGTAGATCTCGATAAAAAAAACATATTTCCTTTTTATCGTTTTTCAAGTCCAAAATAACGGTGTTATTTTACTTTGAAAATTTCCAAAAAATGATTTTTTGCTAAAATTTTGAAAACCACTGGATCTTTTCTGGATTTTCTTTCTTGTAAATTCTTGTAATTCTTGTTATTTAATCCAATACCTATGTTGCCATATTATCAAAAAAGTATGTTTTTTAACTAAAAACCAAAAAAATTTCTAAAAAATTCCAAATTTTCAAAATATTTTTTTGCGAAAAAACCCTCATAGGCATGTTTCTGGTTTTGAACTATATACTACTAGTTAAAATACTTGCACTTATTTCTGGGACACCCTGTATAAATGTTAAAATAAAACATCATACAGATTTCAGATTCTTTATTTTTATCTACATAATACATGAAATGTACATTCAAATTCATTCAATATTATTAATTATTTTTTATACATGTCAGTCCCTTATATAGATAGAAGGACAAAAAAGGTTGTTTAAAAAAATCAAAAAATCAAACCCATTTTTTGTTTTTTATTTTATTTCAAATTCCTTAAACAACCTTTTTCATCCTCCTAGTCATTGTTCTTCTTCGGTAACAAAAATACCGACAAAAATGCTTTTTATCAAAAACCTAGCTCTCATAGGAACACAATTTATCCATCTATTTCTTTAAAATTCAACCATTTAGAAGCTGATATTAGTTTTATTAAGGTTTTATAACTGTAGTAGAATTGTTACACCATTGAAACATTTGTTTATAACATTTTACTTTGTTAATATAATATTTTATTGATTTAAGTGCCCTACAGTTTATTATAGTTGAAGTATAAGTGAAGACATAAGTTCGAAACATTCAACAAGCTTTTGAAGTATAATAGACAGATACAATAATTTATTTTATTTCCTTAGATCGCTTATCATTAAAACATTTTTTACTGTTTAAGCTAAAGAACAATATGTATATTTTATCACATACACGTAAGAACCATTTTGAAGTCTCTTTTAGTTATATTGAACAATATAAAAAGTAATATAAAATAAAGAAGGACCTATAAATAATATTTGAGTTTGATTTTTGTACTTATTTCGAACAAATGGAATGAAGAGTTAATTATCATTTGATTGTAAATTTATTAATGTTATGTCTAATGGCATGATTGTTTTATCTGGGTTTTTGTCTTGTGTAGGTACTTAAATATCTACAACCCGCGAACAACAGCTCTTTTGTACATTTACATTTATCATTTTTTCAATACTGAACATAAAACAGCAGTAGCCATCATTCCTTAGCAAAAATATATACCACGAACTACAATTCTGTACATACCGTATAGGATACAAAATATAACGTTTTCTTTTTTACTACAAAAACTGTATTAATTTCTACTAACAAGAAACTAAAAAGGCAATACTAATCTTCTATGATCATAAAATAATATTATTAACTTGCCTATGTATACATATTTTAATTTTAAACTTACTGTATATCAGTTTTACACCAACCACCACAATTTGTCGATCTTAAAACATTTTGTGGTACATGAAATATAAACTTATACCAAGACATAAAGAAATTAAAATATGTATTCGAGTGCAACTTAATGATACTATTTTACAATCAACCGATACTACGATATTCTTCAAATTAAAAATGGTTTCTTAAGATCGACTAACCTAAATATCAATCTAAAACAATAAACTAAATAAAACGAAATAAAATTAAATAACAATGAAAAAAAACTGTAACCGGTAACTGACCGTAAGAAACCATCACACTAGCGCACCTTAGAGCGAAGCTACTAAAACTACTACAGACTTGGACGAGGGTAATCATAGAAATATCACCAAAAAAAAATCGACCCCATTCGGCAACACTGTTCAACATTCGATTCATCTATGTACACAGTCTCTTAAACTATTTACATTCGGTTGGATTAATGAAAAGAGATAGAGAAAAGAAGTTATGGGAAACCATAGAATGCTCTCAATTCATCGTATTGATTTAGTATCTCCTTATGTAAGCCGTAAAACAGCCAAAAGAGCCAGATTGAACAGCGCTAAAGAAGCTGTTATCGAAGAGGAACTTGAAGCACTGTGATCGGGTTTCTTCTCCAAGGTCGAAGCAGCTAAAATCGAGTTATCTTCGATCGAGGGGTCAGTTTTCTTGCTTTCTGCATGTAATTCTTCCTGTTTTTTCTGTAATATTACCTCAGGTACAGACATGGGAGCTACTTCATGGGTTGTTGAGGTGCTCCGTGAAGTGGTAGTTGTAGTTGTTGTTGTGGTGGTTGTGGTAGTGGTTGTAGTAGGTACGAAGCTGTTGTTGTGAAGGAAATAAACTGGACTGAAGTCGAAGCTGATGTCCAGTACTTTGTTCTCTCTTTTGGTGTCTTCGATGACAAACTCTCTACGTTCACCGTCTTTGTACAATGCGATTACAGTAGCAGTGTAAGGCATATCCATTTCTGTAAAGTTGCCAACCAAGGTAACGTTTACAGCAGTGCCTTCTTCTAGGTGCTTATGAACTGGGACTGTTTCAAGTTTTTCGTAAGGTTGTGCCAATCCCCAGCTTCCACTAATTTGACTGTTATTTGGTAGGAATACAGTGAAAGGAAGCCCAGTTAGAATACCGTGTCCTTTACCCCAGCTCAGGAAATAATCGTATTTATAATCCATGACACTTTCGACTTTTTGTAGTCCATTCTCGTCGTTCTTCAAGACGGTATGGGCCAGGATAACCTTCTTTTTCACGAACCTCCTACCTCCAAGAACTCTTTTGTATTTTATCGCCTTCAATTCATAGGAAATTGGTTCTGTTTCGACCAGAATCTCGCCATCTTCAAACGTAATCTCGTTGTTGTTCTGATCCACCACCGAATACACTCCCAAATTTTCGGAAGGGTTGAAAGTACCGACGTAGTGAGTTAAGGAACCTGGTTTATTATGGGAGCTTGTAGCGCGTCTGCCTACAAAGGTTCTGAGGAGGTTTTCACCGCTGGTTACGGCCCCTTGAGGGAGGTTGGTGTATTTGCTTTTGCCCACCCAGCTCAGACGAGCGCTGTCGTCTATGTTGGTCAGGACCTCGAATTGTCGGAATTCTTGAACTTTTCTGTAGAGGGACACGACGCAAACGTGGTTTCTTGGGCGAAGTTGGCCGGTGACCCAGATACTGGTCACTTTGGCCCTGCACACGTAGACTGGGTGGGTGTTTTTCTGAATGTCGTTGTCGGTGGTGTCGGATTCTTCTAGTTTAGTGCCATCTGAAACAAAAAGATAAAGTTATTAACACAATAACACTAGAATAGATGTTTAATGTTTTGGCTATACATATATTTTAAACCTATAAAAAGTGTAGTTATATCAATATTTAATAACTACATTTCATAACTGAATAGACAAGTGTTTAATTACAACCAGAATATAGGATATACAGGGTACGGCAATAGTATTTTGGACATCTGGCCAGCTATCTGTCTTTAATTGCAGACCTAAAGTATCTAGTAGGATGTATTTCACGAAAATGTTTTAACAAGGTGGCTGAAAAAATGTGAATGTATCGCGATGATTTTTTTTAAATGGAACACCCTGTATATTATTGCATTTTTGCCTTCCTTTCTGATCACTTTACATATTCCTAAAATATTATTAAATATGTTTTAATAGTTTCAAAGATATTAATAAATAAATAAAAAACATATTTTTTTCGTTATTTTTTTAAGAAAATTATTAAAAATTAAAGAAATTAATTTTTAATAAAAGTATTTACTACAGTTAATCTATACTTACTTTCCTATAAATATCGTAATATTAAACCATACTTTATTATTTTATTTAGAATATTTTTGATTTAAAAAAATGAATCAGTCCTGCATTGACCTAATCTAAAGAGAACAGAAAATATTTTAAAATTCATTGAACCACAGAAATCCGAACTAAACAATAAATTTTCAGAATAGTAATGAAACAGCCGACAACAAACCGTTTTCAATTATGGCGAAGTGATTGTGCCTTGGCAGAATGTCACATTTAATTATTTTCAAGGAAAATTACTTCCTAGGCAATTTACTGTACCGAGGAACTCGAGACGATGACTCTAAGATTTTTATTTTTGGTGGTGATATCTTTTAGAAGCCACTATTAACTGTAATTTTCTCTAGAATTTGTCGGACTTGAATTGCTTTATAATATCCTGGTAGATATAGTTTTCAATGAGATTGGTATACGGTATTATCTTGATTTGCTTACTTGGTTACCCGTAACGTAGACAGACAAAAAATGAATAAAAACAATGTTGACGTGGGATATGATTTTCAGACTTTCCTTGTATACACTGTATTTTATGCTTACCATCGATGGTTTGGTAGGCCGCTACCACCCCCTGTTTGAGAATCGTAGGATCGCTACCATCAGTGGCAAACCACTGTAACGTTGAAGATGTGATGATCTGCTCCAAGTTTTGCGAGAGGATGTGGACAGGATCTGCTTTGACGCACCACAGTACTGCTCCTAGGAGGAGTATCGTTTGGCAAAGGAATGTCATTTTTCACCTGAAACAAAAGAAAAAATTGTCAGTGATGTTCAATGTCGGTCATATAAAATGTAATATTTTTTGTGTTGAACGTTTGTGGATTGTAGCATTTTATTAACTGATAGAACAGGTAAAAAATATTATACTCTACTGCTGTGTTAAAGAAAAACGACCTTATAGACCTATTGTGTCCCCCTTTCATGAGTTATAACTCATCATACAGCCTCAGGGCTTTGACAAAAGCCAGTATCTGAGACGGTTTTGCAGAGGTTTGTTCTCCATCTCCAATATTAGTCGCACAAAAATATATGGCACAAATGGTTAGTTGTGTGTGATCACTCAGTGATAAGGTGTTCTGGTGTTTCTTGCTTCAATCTAGTGACGTGTTCATTGAGGAGACAATGTCATGTTAAAATCCCGTGACAATCCGAAGATTGTTCTTACTGAAATCACGGAAAATTTTTGATTTTTCTCGGTCGTAAATCCATAGAAATTTCTTCGAGTGTCTTAGACCGTTGGAGGATTCCTATTCCCCATTTTCAAAAACCCCTTATCTAAAAATTTAAGTTCTTGTTTGTTAATATCGTCGAATTTACACTTCAGGTGAAGATGTTCATTATAATTTCGGAAATGAAGCAAGAGAAGGTGTTTTTGCTTTTCATTTAATTGGAAAATTCCTTTATCTTTTTAATTACACTCTTGAATCTATTGAAATTCAATAATTGTAGTTATGGCGTTTTCGTTAAGACAGAAAAACAATGTATGTGATTTTCTTTATCCATCAATAGCTGCAAAAAATAATATGAAGAGATATCAGGCTAGATAAGTGACTTGCATAAACATTTGAAGATGCTAACAATGCGTGACTATGGTTTTCTTTAATTGTTAGGAAAGGAAACGCACAACAAAAATCGGTAGATAATGGATGAGAAAATGAGCAGAAAACGTTAGAGTAATGAGAATTTCTTAAGTAAACCAATAGGTTTTCAAGCGTTTAGGTAAAGTGTGCTTTTAACTTCTCGACTAACAATGGTTTTAAATATACGGATCTTGTCTGACGCTGTTTGGGTAGAGAATACAAATAAACTACACATTTAAAGTATTTTGCTTGCTGTTTGGGTGGGACTGTTAATATTTATGTATTTTGAACCTATTTTAGAGATAACACAACAAAAGCTGATTTCAATTCGTTTGGACCAAAAGTAGATTTAAAATAGCTAAGCAAAAATATATGCGCAAATTGTTAAAAATACAATATTTGTATAACAATAGTCATGACCTTACGTTGTAAAGAAAAGATAGAAATAATTACAGCTATATCCGATGAAAATGCCGTCAGAGTAGGCAAAGAAATGTCATTCTCATTCAATGAACTTATTTTGATATGTCCAAGGATTATAACTGGGCAGCGATTGTGAATTACCACTTAATTATTTTTTAATACCTGTTCTCTAAAATCAAAATTGATATAATCCAAACATGACAAATTACTGAAAGACTGATGTTGTTTCGTTATAAATTTTTGTATCTGTTAAGCTTCAATTCAACCACTAAAAATAAAAAGCTCTATTACATCTCTCCCGCTGTTACAACAACTCCAAAACGTACACCTAGAAAGCACTACGCTCTCCACATAAACACTTTGAAATTCTCCACCATTCATCTCGTTAACTAAACCAGTCCTGATTCAATTTAAATTGATTGACGTGACCCTTAGAACCATCTGTTCGACGCCTGTAAACAAAGCTCAGTCTTTATATTGGATTTAGATCGCTCAATTCGTGTTAGGAATCACGAAAAAAATAGTTTTCTTTAAATAAAACTATCTAATATTGTTTTTAACACAATTATTATCATCGATATTACACTCTAAATACCATCAAAGGTTTTTTTAATTTCAGAATATTCTCTATATTTTTCAATTATTATATATTTTAAATGTTTTTTTTTCTTGTTTTTTTTTGCAGGCAAGTCCAAAACTATACCAACTTCCGTTTCAAGACATTCTCTAGCCACTCTGCTGGCATGGGGAGGTGCATTATTATCATGCATTAAGTTAACTTATCCCCAATTGCAGCGCTCCAAAGCCTAACGATTGGTTCTAGCACTAAATCAACATACCTGCGACCCGTTAGTTGTTGGTAACAATGGAGTTTTTCTCCTGGTATAATACCTCCCCAGAACATTACAGTTTGTCCTTTAGATCTTGAACCAAGATTTGGCAGCCTGGAGTCTCGCTCATCTTCCTGGAGCTCTGAGAATCCACATTCGATGGTCATCTGATCTTAGGTCAATTCTGGTCTCATCCGAAAAAAGAACATTTTGCCAATTGTCTAATTTTGATGTTGAAGACACCACTTTAGCCGATAACTCTCTCCTACTGTACAACCCTCGAGCACAAAGCCTTTTTCTTATGGTTTCAACTGGAACGTTCACACCTGTAGCTGCCAGAAGTTGTCTTTGTAGCTCTGGATGAGAAACATTGGGATTTCTTCTAGCATTTTGGCACACAAAGCGGTCTTGTTCAGTTGTGACTCTTTAACGACTTTGTCTGGGGCTGTTCTTCAAAGTTGCTAGTTCCAAGTAGGTATCTTGCAGATATTTTCGATACAACACCCTGGGTAACGCCTACTATCTCTGCTAAGTCTCTTTGGGGCATTCCTTGTTCAATGAGAGCAATAATTCTTCCCCCCTGTACATCTGTTAATCCAATATAAGGCATTTTTTATTTTTTTTTGGATCGAATGAAAATTACTGGACAATCGTGGTTTTACTACTGAACACAAAATTTACAAGAAAATAAATTGCAGCAGTCGTTTATTCTTTATTCATGTTTATTTACAACAAAAAGCCTTATTTTAAAGTTGTATACCAGTTTTTTTGTTTGCAAAAAGTTTAGTCAGAGAGCGGAGCGTCCGCGCGTACCGTCCGCGAGTTCCCTGAGCTTTGCCATGAGTTTAAATGAACAATTTCACATGAAAGCGCTGTAAGTCCTGTAATTATCGTACAACAAACAACATTATTTGAGACCCAAAAGTGGGCATATTTTGTTTGATATTGTCATTTTTAGTAAATAAAATTGTGCAATATTAGCAAGAATGGGAGAAAATATATGTATATTACAAGGGGTCAAACCACTTGTCAATTTGAGATGCTGACACTTCTAGCTGTTTGTTTAACAGTCTAAAAGTTAAAAAAAAGCCTTAAGCGCTTTGAAAAAAAGTACTGTTATATCAATTTTCTGGCTATTTTGCTAAACAAATACTTAATTTTTCATTAGCGTTATTTTTATGTCATATGTGGCTAAAAACCAGAATGACTCAGACTTTTAAAATATGGTAATTTCGTTGTACATGTCAAACAAACAAATATATGGTATAGGAAAATTGTTATTCAATTAACTACATGTAAAATATATGGTAATTTAGTATAACCGTTTTTGTTGAGCCTCGATGTTTTACGTAAATTCTCTAATTTCGAAACACGAACCGTGTAGTTTATTTGCTATCCATGTGTATGCAACATTGCCGTTTTATGTTAAAAATCTTAATATTAATGAAAATAATTCCAGATATTTATGTGGAATGTGTTTCTTGAAAAATGAACCGTCTTAAAATAATAGCTAACCAATCTGGATTGAAATCTTAATTTAATGTACCAACGTTAGTTAGTGTTTTTGTTGTGGGTTTGTTCATAATTTATTTCCTGATAATTTTCTTTAACGTAGTTTCAAACCACCTACGCACAAGAACCACTACAGAAGACCGATATTTTAATGATTACTATATTCGTTTCGGTTGTATACAGGGTGGTCCATTTTTAAAAAAAATTTAACAAAAAAATATTTAAACAATTTTTTTTATAAAAAAAAATTGTTTAAATATTTTTTTGTTAAAAAGGACCAATTAATATGATCCCAATATTCAAACTACATTAATTGACTGTTTACGTTGATTAATAATAATTGCTCCAAATACTAAAAAAAACTGAATTTTGTATGTGTATTAGACAGTGTGGCAAAAAGTAAAAAGTATCACCTTATAAATTTTATTTAATTTTTTGACGAATCCTTATTTATAACAACCATTAGCGTAACTAGCAATTTTTCCTGGGGTAGGTCTGGGGGGGGGCTCTGGTATTGAGCCCAGGAGGGGCCTAGGGTTTTTTGATTTATGATTTTTAAAAACATATTTTTTTAATAAAACCTTTACATGAATTTCTCTATCAATAAATTTCATAGACTTGGTTATCAAACCGTGTTCCCCCAATACCTACAAATTTTCTAAAAAAATAAAAATTAACACATTTTTTGAACACAACAAAATAATATTAACTAAACAAAACTAGAAAACGTCATTTTTACTACAACACAAGCAAATAAAAATTAATACGTAGCCAAGAATCATAATTCAGGATTTCTCTGGGGGTGCCCAGCAGTACCAAGGGGGGGGGCACCCCCGTGCACCCCTGTAGTTACGCCAAAGATTCCACATTTATTTAATTAATATCTATATTATTTTAATTAATCCACATTTTATATTTATTTAATTAATCCACATTTATTTAGAATAATTTAAACAATAATTAAGTAAATAATAAATGGAAATAATAGTGGTATATTTAATTGGTATACTCTTTTACAAAGATTGAAATAGTTTCCTTTTTGTAAATGGGCTTGCAGTATTACTATTTTTACCACCTGTACATTTTGTACATAATATGTTGCTTTAAAAAAATGTAAAATGTCAATATTCCATGGGTATAGTGATAAATGGGATCTAAATTATAAGAAATTGCATTTTCTACAAAAACTTGAAGAGATAAAAATGGTATAATACAATTGATAAACAATTAAATTGTGCATCTGATTTACGTAAAATATATATGTAGTAAAAAGAAATATGTAGTAGAGATGAGCAAAACTGCGATTTTCCAATCGCAGTTGAAACTGCGATTGTGATTTGTAAATCGCTGCGACTGTAACCTGCGATTGCGATTTTGATATTTTTAAATTGATAC